AGCATTCGGACACCACTACAAAATGGCGAACATACTATATAGTGCGCTATATATAGTGAGTTATGTGCGACACAGCCCTGATAATTTATGTTTTTAGCCAGCAGATAGCACAGTTTTGAAGTGATTAGGCTATATTTTATATTCCAAAATGAGTATGAAGTTACATTCATCTGGGACTATATGTGTTGAATCAATTGAAAAGTTGTACATTGGTATGGCCCTAAAAATACTCAAATGTTCAGGCAAAATGAGCACCAAAAAAGAATGAGGCCATGATCAAGCAGGGCCGTGCTGTTCACTTGCTGCCCAAACTCCTCACAGTTTACTAAGGCAGGTGACCATTGATATGTGGATATGTGATATCCGTGTAAAATTAAGAAATGTAATCAAAACATTTCGAATGATAGCAATAAGCATTACACTGATACTGAGGAATAACATTTTCATGCTGCGTTTGTAATTTTCTAAAAGAATTAGAATGTTTGTTTTTTTTTCATAAAAGATGGTTGGATTGTGTGCTGCTGATCTATTGTAATGATACGTGCTGAGAAAGTGCTGCTATCATGCAATAACACAAGTCTCTTTTCTGTGCAGTTTTAATGGAAAACACGAGGAGATACTTAAAGCAGATCCTTATCTTTATCCTGGGAACAGTGGCATTGTTCCTCATCTATGAAAACTTTGAGATTGGGTGCTGGAATATTGTAGCTCTCGGAACAACATCAGCAGCAGCAGCAGAACACCCATGGGAGGATCCTGGGCCGTATCATGTGGCCTATCCACGAAACTACAAAGTCATCATGGATGACACACCGAGCTGTAAAACCACGACTCCTTTCCTGATCCTGATGGTTCCAGTTGCACCCGGGGATGTGGCAGCTCGGGACACCATCCGGAAAACATGGGGAGGTGAGAAACAGGTTCTGGGTAAGCTGGTCAAGACCCTCTTCATACTGGGCCTACCAGGTGGAGCTGATGCTCAGCAGCAGCAGGAGAAGCTTAGACAGGAGAGCCAGCAGCACCACGACCTGATCCAGAGCAACTTCCAAGACAGTTATCGCAACTTGACGATCAAGACTATGGTCATGCTGGAGTGGCTCGTTGCACACTGTGTTAACGCTTCTTATGTCATCAAGGTTGATTCAGATGTGTTACTCCATGTCCGAAATTTGGTCAAACTATTGCTAGATCCCAGTACAGCCAAACAAAACTACATCACAGGTGTGGTGTGGTGGCACAGCCCAGTTTTAAGAAACCCATTCAACAAGTTCTACATGCCAAGAGACGTGATCGCTGAGGCGGAGTACCCTCCGTATCCTCTGGGCATGGCCTATGTCATGTCCCTGGACCTGCCTGGGAAGATCCTTGGAGTCTCAAGTCAGATTAAACCCATCTACATTGAAGACGCCTACCTGGGTATGTGCCTGAAGCGCCTGGGTATTCCCCCAACAGACCCTCCTGAACAGACGTTGTTTATTGTCGACCCCAGCCACCCTCTGAGCAGTTGCAGCCTTTCAAAAGTGATCGCCACGACCACAACAAGTGCCTCACAGATGATTAGTTATTGGGAGAGGAGCAGACAGCCAGAAGCTAAATGCTGAACTTCATAAGGTTTACCAAGGTGTTTGGGGGCTGGATAAGGTAGTGAGGCGACCCTTTGGTCATGGGAATGTTTCTAAATCAGACAAACAAATGTGTTTACTCTGGGTTTGCAGACAATGTGGAACCACCTTGTTTTTTGTTTGGACAGAAAAATATCATTGTATTAAAGACATTTAAGAATGTACTTCTGAGTTAAACTCTGAGCTGTATCAGCTCTCACACAGATCAAAACATAGATGAGGGGGTTTCAGTTTGTCATTTTCAGTGTTCTTTTCAGATACTGTGTCTTAAACTAAGTCTTTCCCTGCTTTGTCCACG